TAAACATTCATTATGGCCCTTTTTCTCCTTTGTAGCTCCATCATCATTATTCCACTGCATCCCCCGAGGAGGCAGCCAGTGCGCAAACCAGGCTTGGACCAGGGCTGAGGGGAGACAACAGCGAGAGAACCACAGCGTCAGGACCTGGGAAAGCACACAAGTGATATTTGTGAGGCGAGATCAAAAAGCATTTACCTTTAGATGTTTGCCTGATATGAATATTCAACATCCTTATTGAAATCTAATTTGGGTCTCCTTGTCTCGGGGGTCTTTTCATCAGTGCCTGTTGCCCGAGGCCAGAGCTGATTGACAGCCAAACTTTAGTAAAGAGCAGGCGGGTAAAAAGAGGAGATCTGGTGGTGTGAGGGATGTGAGTGTGTTAAAGCCAGAGAGAGGGAGGGGGGAGAAGAGGGGGCAGGGGGGCAGTGACTGTGGCGGGAGGCGTTTAACCTCCTCATGTGCATACACAAACAGACAACTACCTCCAAACATGACATTACTATTCAGATCGTATTCGGATTGTACTATCAATATCTGGATACAATAATTGACATTGATAACAAAGCTTCAACAAAAGATCACACTAAAACACGAGCCATCACAAGCAAGTGTTTTACAGATCATTTTGTATGCAATTTTATTTTGAGAAATATTATAATTTGCAATGTGCACAAACAAAACACAAGCAACTGGTAAGCTACCTGTAAACAATAAAGGATAATTACTACAATGTATAATAATTTGCACACATGGCAACTCTTTATTTATTTGTGGAGAATAAACCTTGTCTCAAAACCTACTTTTTTAAAGTCTAATGCTTTCACTAATGAATATAGTTGTTGGTTTGGTGGTCAAATGCTCAGAAACACCTCCTTCAAAATGTTTGTATTAAAAACACCCAACTAACTTAGCCAAAGGGTGTGTGCCATATTTTCCTCCTAAAAATAGTTGAATATATTTTACGTTGTATAATGGACTTGAATCTTCATACAGATTTATTTGGCACAATTAGAGTGGACTGTTCTATTGCTGTTTAATTAGACAGAAACTCCAGCTCTTGCCGTCCCTCTCAGCAGGGAGGTCTGGTTTGGACCGTTGCAGCGTTTGCTTACTTGTTTGCTGGCTTATATAACGGTAAATACTGAAATCTGTGCTGCTTTTTTGAAGTGCATTTAAATGAATCAAAAGTGATGTAGCTGGGACTGCAAGAAAGCATTAATAAATATGTTGTTATCATTTTATTATTGATTATTGGAAACACATACTTGTTAATGTAGATAAAATCACCTAGTTTGGCTACAAATGTATGTAATGTATGTAACTAAAATTACAAACTTGTTTAATACATTTCCCAAACATTCTCCAAACATAAAAGGTCACATAAATCTATCATAGTGTGTCTAATCAGATCTGACCTGAAGAAATGTATTAAGTATACTTGCTTCTTATTTTTATACACCTGCCATGTCTTAAAACACACATAAAAACTCAGTATAGTTAAAATATCACTCAAATGTGCATCTAAAACACGTGCATAGGATTGTCCGTTCCTCTCCTGTCCTCATCTGTCCAAAGAGCCGATGGTTTCATGTTTTTATTGCGCAGGTGTGGCCTGTCCCTCTGGGTTCTATTAAAATGATGCCCCTCTCGAACGCAGCTCATTTTGCTCTTTCCATTTAACACGGGCCATATGTCTAACAGGAGGCACACAGCTGATGGGGTTTAATGACACAAATCAACATATTCACTTCAGGGAGACGGGTGTGTGTCTGCGTGTGTGTGGATTTAAAAGGGTCAAATGTGGATCAGAACAGTTTGTCAAATAAACACACAAGCAAATGTTACAAAAATTATACTAGGAGAAAAATATTGGTGGAAAATAATTTGCTACTTCTGATCAAATAGTTTACAAAGGTAAATTGCATAATACCAATTGTTACCTTCAGTATTTATTCAGATTGTGTTGGGCAAGGACTATAAAAATGGAGATGCACTTTTAAATGGCAGCTGTAAGTATGCATTTGTCCCAATATGGACTACCTACCAAATCTGACCTACTGGCTGTATACAGGTTGAATCTTAAAATATTGGAAGTAGCTTGATATTGTATAGTACTGGATAGTAGAATTACAAAATAATTGCATAGGGCACTGTCTGAACATTGCTGAACAATCTCTATTCAAGTAAATGTTGATTGTATTTCAAATGTATTCATTTCCTCTAGGCTTGCAAAGACAATGCCTGGAACTTCAACTTCAGCTGAACTGTTTGGGGGCCAGGAGGGCCTCTAAGATGTAACACATAAAGTGTAACATGAAATATAAGTTTGGTGAGAATGTGTTTCAGTTAGTTGCCACAGCAAACCAGTACTTTGTCAGACTGAGTCCAGAAGTCTTAACTGGAGTAGATGTCTTGCCCAAGAGCACAAAACAGCTGAAACTACACGCCATAACCATTTGAAAAATATATAGTATTGTCTGAAAAGTAGCCTACTTCAGCGCCAACCATAACCCGCTATACAGTACAATTATGCTATTGTCTTGTCTATCTTCTGGGACACTTTTTACCACATCACTCACTCATACATTTTAACTAAATGGGGGTATCGGTGGGCTAACAGGCAGAACGCAATTAGCACATAAACCTGTCATTGGTCCCATATCAGGTTCCTCTGAGGAGAGACACACTGCTGATCTATTACTGCTCAGTGATTAATCCTCTCCAACAATGACCACTCTTAAAGTAGGCTTATATTCAAAGGTATATCCCTCCACTAAAGCTGCACTAATTAGCATTCAGATGTGGGAGTGCACCGAGAGGCAGCACCCACTAGAGGAAGGACAGAGGAGGCGAGGCGACACCCTAAAATGTCATTAACTTGATGTTAATTACTAATTAATGGGTCTATTTCATTTACACGTATCTCTGGCTTTTTGATGGCTTTTACTGGGTTAGACTGGAGCCAGCTGACAACTTGGTGGGGGATGGTTTGTGCTGCGCTACCCCCTTTTTTCTACAGTTTCATCTCTGCTAATTAAATACTGGACCACTCATCATGATTATATCTGCTTTTACAACACCATTTCTGCCACAAGAGCCACCCCAGCCAGCGCCACCTTTTTAACAGTGGCCCATAATGTACTGTACATTCAAGACCACTTGTGAAATGACTTTTAGCTGACCTGATATTTTAGTTGTTTCAAACTAGAGCTGGGAAGTAAGGGTAGTTCAAATAGTCTAGATTATGTTTGGGTTTAATGTTACTCAAGCAGTCATAGTCTATAGCCTATATAGGCTTTGCAGTGCAGATTATGCACAAAATGTAGAAAACGAGGGATACATTGTCGAATATTGTGGAGGGACGGACTTGTTTCTTGACACTAAATGTAATAACATTATATGTATTCAGTGTTTATCAGTTGTGTTCAGAAATGGGAATGGCAGGTGCTAAGATGCCCAAAAAATAATGATTTCCTAGAGACAAAACAAATATGATTTTTAATACTTTTTATAATTCATGGCATCAATGAAAGGATGACAAGACATCCCGATTTACCTGGGAGAGTCCCAGTTTTGAGCCTTATGTCCCTTCTCCCAGGAGATTTATCCAAAACCACTGATTTGTCCCAGTTTTATACAAGAAATATCCCAAGTGTTGACCAATCTGATCCCTGCCAACAGTAAAGAGGGGAATATATTGTCATATGTTAAGCTGGAAAATTTGTGTTGAAAATGGTCATAATGCACTAACAGATGTCCCTCATCGAGTCAGGAATGGACAATGTTATGTGTCCTTTTCACAATTTTAGGACACAAAACTGAATTTTGAAAATCTGATCACCCTAATGATTGAAAAAGTGAGACACTGTGTAAATAAGTGTGCAGGACAACCAAAAGAAAGACAGGTGGTCACTCTAAATGGCCCATATTCTGTTTTTAGGCTCATGAGTCGGTCTACTGGTAATACACAGAGGTAGTTTAGGTCTGTAGCAGCAAGTAATCCACGCTGTAGCTTGACACAAAATGCCCAATTTTAGAACTTTTAGCTGTCTACTTCAAAGTGTAGTAGGTTAGTATGGTACCACTTCCTCGAACTCCCTCCCTGCCTCATCCTTTCCACGCGTCTCCATGGTAACCTGCATCCCCGTCTCTGTCCCACGAGATCATGGATCCATGCACGAGGAGTGGGCTGGGCTGATGGTTGACGAGCGTCTGGCCGTTCACACGTGGGCAGTGCGAGCGAGCCAACATGGCACACAGCATCGTGCCATATGGTGCCACCCCATACTGTACGTCCCGCTGGCCCCAAATCCAGATTCAGATCCCGGACCCGGACTGAACTGGTGAAGTGGGCAATGTCGAATCTGCAGAGGGCCAAACCGGACCCATAGAAAGCATAGCACACATTTGAAGCATTTATAGACAGAATTAAATTTGTGAGGCATGTTTATTCATTGTTCTTGCCCATTGTGAAGCCCCGCGCTGTCTAGACTGTACACACAGACTTAGACATGAAGTCACCACTAAACCTCAAGTAATTGAATCTTTGTATACTCTGGGATACGATTTAACCCGCGCTATATAGGCTACTGTACTTTATTTCATTGTTGATCCTCTACTGCCACTCGGTGGTAGACAGGAGTACTACACTACATGGTACAGGATACAGAATGTCCCTTGCAGTTGTGTCCCTATGGGTTTGCTAGTCATGTGACAAATCCACTAGCACACTACATATTTTTTCAGATCAGAAGATATTTGAGTTCTTGGGGAATTTGTTTAACAAAATGCATATATTCTGTTTTGGACTAAAATATTTCATGAATTGCATTTTTCCAGAGATGGGTCTAATAAACGACCCCCTCCCCCCAAAAAAAAAAAGATTTCTATTTGATATGCATATATTGAATAATTACATTTTGACCTATAACACTGAATATTATGTGTAGTATTTACACAAACTAATGTTACTTCAAAATTGTAGAATTAAAACACATCAGCAATTGACCAAAATATATTTATTCCATCTTAATTTTCTTTCCATACATTATCAAATCATTACAATACTGTAATTGCTTGCACTTAAGTAATATGTAAGGATTAATATACATATTATCAAAATTATTTGTAAAACACTTTTAGAAAACATACATTTTGGGACTCTTGACTATACATGTGAATGGGACCAATAAAGTGTCATGAATGTACCCTTTAAGTCCAACATCACAGATACAGAGCTGGCTTTGTAAAAGCTCAAATGACTAAATTGCATTGCATAATAACTACCCACTGCCTTAACATTAACTGATTTGATCAATGTAATGAAGCATATGGTTAGTGCAGTTCCTGATCACTGTTTTTTTGGATCATCAAGCTTAAAAACTAGAGACAAGCTCTCAAACTCTCCCACATCTTCCAAAGACTAGACAAAAAAGTGATGAGGAGGCATCTGGTGTAACCCTTTATAAATATTTGGAGAACAACTCCAATGTCTGAAAGGAAAAGACTAAATTAGTAGGAAAAAGCATAAAAACATAAATTAAAACTTTCTACAAAGAATGAATGAATAATCACTTGTTTACATTTTTGCTACAACATAATATTTGAATTGATTTCAGAATGTCATATTCATATTGCAACATGAAAAGCCTCAGACCTTAAAGGCTTTAAAGACATGCTCTCAGATCAGTAACATTCTTCAGGCCATTGTGTAACACAACACACTGAAACTACAGTAACTAAAACAAAATGACAAGACATAAAAACTCAGTAACCTAAACAAGGAGATTGCGCCCGCAACAAAATTTGTATTTAGTGGCAAGATAAAAATGTTGGGCTTTTATCTTTTTGATGTAGCAACAGTAACAATAAAATCAGGTACCAAATGTTCAATAGTGAATATAACATAAAACAACAAACTGGTATGAGTCCACTGTTACTGGAGTTATTTTGCCTTTGTCTTTTACCATTCAAATCCTGAGGGTGAAAATTTAAGATTAATTCAGAAACCAACCCTTGATTTAAATTCATATTTAAATATGATGCCATCCTAGTCATTCAATATGTGTGTGTTTCATAAACCTATTTTTATATCTAATCCAAAAAGGCCTTTGTTTGCCCCTCAAAATATATATATTCTATACATATATTAAAATTCACCATTTATAAATATAAATTACAATAATGAATTGAGGTATTTTTTTACAAAATACGACCGTAAAGAATTAAATATTAACTTTGGTCTTTCAACTGGGTAAACATTCTTAACATACTTTCAGTAACCACATTTGATAATAAAGAAAAGAATGAAGACTATAAAAAGGTATAGGACATTAACATACATCCTTAGTCACCAGATAATGAGATGCCAATAAGAAAGAAGGCTCAACCATTATGTAAGAGACAAATGTTGAACAAAGAAAAAGTGCTGCCCCTTAAGAATCAAGTGTCACATGTCTGTGGTATCACTCAATACATGCTCTGGATATGAGCCTTTGGTTATGAATTCCATACGCATTCAATAAACATATCAACACATTCTGTAACATAAGCACAACTCTATTAAGTAATCAATTTTAGAGAAGTTTCTGTCTTTAGGCATAAGCATAGTACATTACAAATCCCAAAGAATTACAAATTGTGCTCTCTGTGCTAGTCCCACATGGCATAAATGAGGCAGGACCAGTGCCCCCCTTGGCATGGGTGCCACATGAACAACTCTCTGCAACAGAAGGAAAGAGCAACACTGCAACTATAAATGTGCTTTTAGGCAAACCAGTTCATACCATTATCTTTATACCCATTTCACTATGTCCCAGTTTAGACACAACAGGGCTTTACTGTAAAAGGCATTCTAACAGTTCAAGTATTTCAATAACAATGTCTTTTTTAACCCATCCAAGGAACACAATCAACCACATGAGAAGAGAGCTACACTAAACAGAGCATATCTTGTATTAAAATATCCACATGAATAAACCCCCATGACCTGAAGAGTCAACTCATTTTCCATTGTAGAGCATTACTTTTGTTACATCTTTGACCCTTGCAATTACGTAGGTGACTTCACACATGTGAGAAAAGACACTTAGTGTAGTGCTGTGCAGAATAGTGACATGTAAAAACACTGTCGAACACTAGTACAACTTTCCCAGTTTAAAGGCTTGGATCCCTGCTTAGTTCTTTTGCACAATATTCTTGAGAAACATTTGTGTTTAGACATTTACCAATATGGCTGTGTACTGATCTAAATGTGGATGTTGCTATAGCGGCCCTTACTCGAGTCAATGTCCACTCGTTTTGCATCTCCAAAGGCTAGAAAGATGCCAAGCCCCAGCAGGTTCAACGTGGTGATCAGTGCAAAAACAGACGCCCACGAACCGGTGGTCTCAATCAGATACCCTGAGAAATACACCAACAGGACCCCTACAGAGAAGCAGATGATCCATTGTAGTACACATCACTTCAAAATCAAATGTCAGTCTTTTCAACGCAACCCATAGAAACTTTAACTGTCATCTTTTGGCCTCTGTATTTTTGATCTGCAGTACTCTTGATCAAATATGTATGGTGCAAAAGGGACAAGTTTGAGTGACAATGGAACTCAGAAGCACAGGACTATGAACAATTTAATATGAGAAATTATTTAGAACACAATGAAATACTTTCAGAAGGATTACAATTAAGCTACTCACCTGAGAAAGCACCACATGTATTCATAACACCTGTAAAGAGAATTGTGTAGCATTAAAATATATTTGGTCCATAAGCATGGAAAATATTTGATCAAACATACCAAATAATGACCCAGCACAGGAAGGAGCGAGATCTTGGACATTTACTGATACACCACTTCAAAGAAGAAAAAAAAAATGTTGTCAATTATAGGAACTAAGGCCTGACCGATATATCGGCTGGTTGATATTATCTGCTGATATGGGCACCTGGAAACATATCGGCGATCAGCCTAAATCTTGCCGTTATGGGCTGATATTTCACGTGGGCATGTTATATGTTATAAAGCTTAGACTCTCTACATTATGTTCATTTAATCCAATTTACAGACAGATAAATGTCCTAATATGTGGCTCTGCATCAGTATTTATCTGTGGTGTAATTTGTCTGTGTCTGTGGCCATACTGTCCCTGAACACACCCCCAGAGTCACATCACTCACGTGCGCTTGTTTACACCCGCAGCCATAGATCCACGTGCAACACTGAGATTATATTCTTTTTACGGACAATCGGTCTGAGTCTGGATTAAAAAGACATTTATTAGTGCAGACTTGTGATGTGAGGAGGAGCCTGTGTGAGCGGTGAGTGTTGCAAAAGTGTCGATTTTGAAGCTAGTTTTGGTTATTTCTCATTGGTTAGAGATTAGCTGCTGTAGCTCCCACACATAAACAGGCCGTTTTCTATTGGCCATATATTTGTTACTGGACCTGCACTGATATGTAAATGAGATGTGAATAGAGGTGTGAATTATGGCATTTACACATATAATTAATTACTGCAACGCACACGCATTTACGGCTAAGGGCTAATAGCGGTAGTTTACTCTCTTTACTAGCGGGACGGGAGCCTGCTCCTTATTGGGAGCCGTGTTTTCACTTTCTGTCACCCCCTCTTTCTCACTTTTTTTCTCTTCACGCTGCAGACCTGTAGTTTGATAGCGGGCAGTGGCTGAAAACAAAACTTTCAGAAATAGTAGGCTGTACTTCAGCATAAAATAAATAAACCAGGACTAATCTTGGGCTCGAGAGAGGGAGAGAGATGGAGACCGAGTCCCGACACTCAGTCCTGGTTCAGTTCTGATTTAGTCCTGTTTTACACATGGTTTAGATCTGTTTTAATCCTGGTTTAGACCTGCTTTAGATCTACTTTAGACCTGGTTCAGTTCTGGTTTAGTCCTGCTTGCAACAAAACAATCCCAATTGCTCGGGAGCCTAAAGAGCCAGCTGCTTTTAGTGAGCCGAGCCAAAAGAGCCGGTTCTCTAAAAAGAACTCGAATACCCATCACTACTGGCTTGAATGTGATGCAAAAATGCCATTAGGCCGACCTACTGTCTATAAATATGACGTAAAGAGTCAGAATAACAATAAATGTTGCCTAAATAAACACAATTTAAAATCCACCAGAGCCAAACCTAAGTTTTTTAAACAATTCAAGATTTACAGTGAATTTTTACATCACTAAATATATCGGTGATTATAACAGCTATAGGCAGCTCCAACTCCCATTTTATTGGTCTCATATTGGCCGCAAAAAATCTATATTGGTCGTGCCCTAATAGGAACAATGCCAATGACATCAATATAGAAGATAAAAAAAGAAGGTAAATGTTTGTTTCTACCAATTAAAAACTTTAAAACTGTATTTATTTATTTTTTTTATAAAACATGTCTTAAGTGATACAAGACCTACTACATCTATAGTAGACTATAAACTATAATATCAGAATTTTCATAGCTGGTATGACAAAGAAGCCTTTAAACAGAATGCACTATTACACACTATCTGACGTACGACTTGACTATGATATGTGTTTGTTTGTTCATACCTGTAATTGAAGGTGTGGAGGCCCATGGTTATTGACACAAGTGCTACAGCCCAGGGAAATGTTGTTTTACCACAGAGGCACAGGGTAAACACACTAGACAGGCCCATGGAAATGAACTACACAAACATAAAACTGATATAAACACTGAGAAACATTTCCACAGAGGTGTAAACCAATAAATGAAAAAATGTTATTGACATGTAAGAGACAATATACAGAGACATTAAGATCATGAAATTGTTATGACTTTCAGTCTCTAGTTGTGTCATGCCAAGACCAAAAGTCCAGTCAGACCAAAAACCAAAAAGGGCTAGTTAAAATAAAAATGCAATAATCTGTCTGTTTGTCTATGCTTTATCATGGTGAAATTGAATGCTCCTATATGCAAATCTATACAAACTTGGGATTAGGTTTCATTGACCATTATGATCACTTTTTAAAGTGAATTTTATAGAGAAATATAGCAGAAAATTAGAGAAAAATTGATCATTTCAGTATGCATAGTCTGTATGTTGCTGAACAGCAGTAAAAAAACAAAACACTTTTTGGATAATATCTCCAGTATTTCTTAAAAAAGATAAGAATATACTTGTAGATTACCTGCATAAACTTCCTGACAGAAGCTGTATCAAAACCTGAAAATGAAAGAAGGAAATGACTATTGTGGACTACTGTGTTGGAAATTCTGAAAATAGGTTTTGAATGCTCTACCTTGACCGATGAGGTGATCAGAGAGGCACCCGCTTAAAACAGATGAAGGAATTGCCACCACCCAGGGAATCACATTGAACACCCAGCCCTCGAGGAAAAAAAAAAAAATCATGTTTCAACTTGAAGTTTTAAAAAGCCAGTTATTGTTTATAAAGTTTGACAGGTAAATCTATTTTCTCTTTGATCTCTTTGTCAAATGTCATATCAAAAAGAACAAATATGCCTTCAGTGTGTCATTACTTTGGCATCTGGGAAGGTGTCTCTAAAGTAGGTCGGCAGCCAGGACGAAAGAGTGAAGAAGGTGCTCGCTGTGCAAAGATGTGCGGTAATTACAGCACTGTCCAGCACAGAAAGAAAGAGTTACTTGCTGTTAAAATCTTAACTGAATGATCAACTGCATTTTAAAATGATCTTACCAGACAGCTGGCTGTTTGAAAAGCCGCAGCCAGTGTCTTTTAGTGAGTTTGGTTTGGGTCTTGCTGCTTCCTAAGGATTCAAGGCTAATAACAGGACCTGAGAACACAAAACAGATTATGCAGTCCTTAGCATCATACAGTAAGAAAATGTCTAATTTAGTCAGAATTAATACATTTAATTCTGCCCTTATTTCATTGATTTTTATTCCATATTCAAATATAATCTTTGTGCCTCAGTATTAATAAAGAACAAGGACTACCATATTTATACCTTATTCATAGCATTAATCCAGTTGCAATTTTAGCATAAATGATTATGTAAATGATTCAATCCAGTATTGCAGAAACACTCCTTGCCTTCTCCTCTGAGGAGATACTTCCACATACAGTAAGCCCAGAGCACGGTGAGCAGCCCAGACACATAAAAAACACTTTCCCAGCCGTACAGGTCCAACATGAAGGAGCCAGCTCCACCAATCACCAACGTGCTAAACAAATGCAACATCAAATATCTAGTCAAAACACACACGTGAAACCACAGGACACAGGTACCACTTTGGCAGTGCACAAAATGTTTTGCAACAAGGTAAGACTCACCCCAGGTAAGAGCCACTACCAACAGTGCTCATAAGGAAACCTCGTTCACTTTCCACCACCTTTTGAGAACATAGACTGGCCAATGATGGATAATGTACACCTACAACACAACAACCATAAATATTAGCTTATTGTTAATTAACTTACTGTGAAATTTGTTTACATTGTTGGAAACTATTATTCACATAGATAAGCAGTGTTGTACAACTACTGTTGTAAGTACTGTGACCTAGAACGAAAAGAAACTATTTATCTAATACAATGTAGATCAATGTAGGCACCAAACCGGTTTTTCTGGAAAGATTAAATGTTTTTGTTTAGAATGACAGATTAACTGTGTAGCAACAAACGAAGATCACCTTGTAGTAGTCCCATCAGGAATCTGGCAAGAGTCATTGACAGAATTGGCTGAGAGCAGAAGTGGGCCAGAACTGGAGTAAATGCTGTCATAGAGCCCCAGGCTGCAGCTGACAACAACATGACCTTCTCCCCTCCAACTCTGTCCACACAAATATATTGGGGTATAAGTTATATTTTGTGAAATACAAAAATTGTTATTTAAGACACATGATGTAATATAAAACCACAAACTCTTACCGGTCACTGACATAGCCTCCAAAGATCTGGGTGAAGCAGTAGCCCCAGAAGAAACTGCCCAGGACCATGCCAGACTCCTTGTGGCTCCAGTCGAATTGGTCCGCCATGCTGACCGCACAGATGGGCATAGTCATCCGGGCACAGTACAGCAGGCATGTACCAAAGAACAACACCACCGTCCATAACCTTGCCATGGGCCTGTAAAACAAGACATAATGAAATTATTACAACAAAGTTAACAAAGTTCTCTGAGGCTTAAGAGTTTAATAAACAGGTTTATGTTTTGCAGTCTCACATGTGAGACCAGAATAAAATGTATTTAAGTGAAAAAAAAAACAATGCTTAGGATCCTCTAAGTGAATTGTTGACTATTGTTGCATGTATGAAAACAAGCTGCTGGTACTCACTTATCTCACTTACCAAAGTTTGTTTATGATGGTTAACATTCTGAGATAAGATCAATAACTTACTTTGCGACTTTCAGCCCTGTTTTAGTTTAATTTGAAAATCTAAACTCTAAAACTTTTGTAGCCTATGATATAACGGGGCTCTTAAAGCCCACTCATTTTTTCCCAAAGAGGTTGCTATGCTGTAATTAAATATTCAAAGGCAATAGCTTACAATAAGGTAAAAAGCTAACAAATTAACAAAAAGAGAAATTTTGTGATGGCACCACCTTACAATGGTTTAACTTTTCCTCGGTTTACCTAACGTTAATTCTCCCGGGGGTAAATTCTTCACATTATCACATCTTACCTGGACCAGTATGCACTCTGCTCGGTCCATTTCTTGTGAGACACTGCGGGAGCTCCACCGTGCTTGTTGGGCTGATGGTTTTCCTTGTAGCAGACCAAATCTGGATTGTGGTTCTTGCCATATTTTTGAATTACTGCCATTCAACGGAAGGTTATGGCAGCCTCCTTCTCTTTCCTTCCTCGGGCTATTTACTCGTTAATTTCGCACGCCAAAGGGGAACAGTCCAACTCTCCAGTACGCTTTTACATAGTATCCGCAAAAAGGCGACCTAGATTGTGAGTTAAAAAGGGTCTTTGTACTAATGTAAGAGCAGGCGATGGTACCGGAGCGGGCTAAAAGAGAGGCTGTATTTTCCTGATGCCGAGGAAGCCTAATCCACGTGTCAGTTTTCTGCAAACCCTGCCTCTTTCAGCCACGCAATACTTTCACTGATCGGTAGGGTATTTCAGGAAGCATAATGTTGTTGATACGCTCGTCTTTGCCCCATATTTTATGTTTTCTGTGCAAGAAATGACTTCGGTGCTTTTTCTTCAAATCATGACGATGCAGGACAGGCCGGCTGAGTATGAAAAGCACGCTGGAGGGGGTTATGTTTAAAGGCACAGAGGACACGAGGATGTGCGGCCAATGCCTGTTCAGTTACAACAGAAAATTCTATTCTGTAATACTGTACTCTAGGATGTCAGTTCCAAATGATGAGTAGGAATAAACAGAAATATATTGGAAAGTGTAAAGAATGGAATTAGCAATAAAAACTCGCAACTGGTAGTTATGTCATGTTATGACTCGCTTTAATTGCAAAATAAGACAGGAGAAAAATAGCAGATCATATAGTCCTATACTAGGCTTAAGTCCTAAAAGTGAAGTTTCTTAAAATTCTGTTTATGTACATTTGAGTTGTACAAGCTTCTGTTCACGTTTTTCTTAACAATAAATATTTTTACAGTAAGAAAGTTGCTTTTAAGCTGCAGTGAAAGGTTTTCAAAATCCAGCTTCAACTTGCTAAGATATCCAACAGCAAATTCAAAATAAAAATTAGTATTACACCTATAAAAATAACAGCAGATCAACAACAGTGGCAATATGTCAAAGACCGAGTTTAAGTGTGGGTGCTTACTGAACTAAACTGCAAGTAGTCACAATAACAGTCAGGCATGACAGCCTAATTTAGGCTTCATTCATACTTCCTTTTTCCAACTTTCTCTGTCACTAGACAGAAAAAAATAGTGTACCGGAACTAATATAGAGAAATACAAAAGTAATATTTCAATGCATAAATGTAAAACAACATGTTAAAAACATGGATATGTGTGTTAATACCATTTATCTAAACAGTGTGAGTTATGAAAGTATCAAAAAGCAACCCTTACAAAACAAAAGGTTGTACTAGATGAGCAAGTTTGTTGACATATAAATTAAGTAAAGAGCAGTCCAGTCTCTAATGCTGTGGTTCAATGAATGTTCCTTATTTCAGGTCTTCAATGGTGCCTTTGCTGAGGTCTGTCATTTTGGGGTACTTCACTTTCTTTTGGTCGAGCTCATTTTGAGCCCACAGTAGTAGCTTGAGGAGTTTGGCGAGTTTGGGAGTGGATTCTCTGTTTTCATAATCTAACACTGACTGATTTACTTCACCCCATACCTAAAAAAGAGATACATACATAGTTTAGTTAAAAATAAACAAGAATTAAAGAACACCTAATTTATTAAACAACAACACACAATGTGTATAATCAATCAAATTAACTGTTCTTCTAAGAGTTGTTCAGAAAAGTCCACCTTTTGTCTTTGCATCATATTGAGCAGATCTCCAAAAGGGGATTCCTCTGGGTTGTCAAATGCCAGAAGCGCAAGTGTCCTTTCCATTTCAGTCAGGCATTCTCGGCTCTCCTCGCCTTGTTCTGCTAACTGGGCCTGAGCAAACTCAAGGGCCGCTTCAGTCTCCCGTAAACGAATGAGCTCTATCAAGTGTTGTTGCTGTAAAAAAAAAAAAAAAAGAGCAAGAAGTTAGCAACATGATAATCAACTGGTAAGTACATATCAATGTTTCACCTCAAAGTATACCTGCAGGTGAAAGTAGAGATAACGATTGGTGTCTAGTAGTTCTGGGTGCAAGTTGTTAAGAAGTGCAATAGCATCCTGGATCTGCCCTTTCAGGATCATCTCTCTGATCTTAATCCGTTCATCAAGAGAGTCCAAATCTACACAAGGCTCAATCCCAGACTCCAATCGAAACTTCTCTGCAGCTTCCTTAAAGCCCTCTGGAAAAGAAAAACGTGCAACAAATGTAATTCGGAAAAAGCACACCAAATGATAAATGAATAAATAAAAGTAATAATAATAATAATAATAATAATAAAAGTAATTATTATTATTATTATAAACTATACTGTACCTGTCACTAAGTAATTCATAATTAGCCTGTTCATATCCGCTCTTTGAATGTGGACGTTGTTGATCTTATCCATCCATTCCTCTTTTGTTACGTCCTCTGGTTTCTCCGCATAACTCATTATCCTGAAAGAAATAACGATAATATAGTTCGATGTTGGTCTAATCAAGCTCGTTCTTTGTGCTTTAAATACGTACTGATACAGTTTCGCTTGTCAACTTAATTCTGTTTCTTTGAAACATACTGAAGTTCAGGCCTATAATAACAACTACACTAACGTTAACGCTGTGTTTTTAAATTCTATTTTAGGCATTTTCTTGGGGTTCACATTGTCTACTTATGTCAAACTCTAGGCTTTATTATCATATTAATCCATCAAAATTCACGATAATGTTTGAAATAGTTATATTACCTTATATATTGTTGAGCTACGTCGGCGACAGCTAGTAAGCTAGCAGTAAGCTAGCGGGTTTTTCGTTAACTTCCGGTCATTTCTTCGATCAAAAACTGCCAAACCAGGATAAACAGCGCCATCTATAGACTTTAGAAAAGATTAAATTAAGTTGCAAACACTTCGTTGCATTTCCTTAAATTAGTTCTCCTCTGCTTGCAGTAAAATAGTTTTGTTGATATTAGTAGTAATAATTAGTGATTACTAAAATATATTAGTAATAAAGTCTTTTCTCCACCAGTCTGTTCTCCTGTTTCGCGTTGCCATCATTATCGCCATTTACCTTCACGAAACGTTACCTACACAACATCAACAAAAGTCCAAGCATTGTTTATTCTAATGAACTAAGATGTCTGTTAATGTTGTGTTATAAACTTGATCATTAATTAACTTGGCAATCTAACTTAATGATTTCCTTTGATGTTAATGTTTTTTTTGGTAGAAATGGCAACCTCCGGTAGAATTTTCAAAGACGAAGAAGTGGATGGTTTGCCAAAGTTCCCAGTCCTGCCGCCAACTGACACAAAGCAGGTCGACGCTGTCAAAGAGACATGCATGTTGATTCATCAGAAACTTCAGAAGCGTCGAAAAAAGAAAATGCTAAATGACCAACGTCGATTGTTATTGTAAGTGTTCTGTCAGGTTGGAAACACTTGCAGTTAACTACAATGTTAGCTGGCTAAAGCAGTTGTATTGTATATACTGTCATACAGGGTGTCCAGGGCCATGGCTGCCTATAGACGGTGCTTGGATAACGAACCAGAGAGCTCATCACCAGAGCCACAGTTTCCACCCTCTGTAAGAAATACACAGTTAGACACTGTCTACATAAAATATTATTTATTTCAAGCATCCATCTAACACAGTGTTTTCAAATTTATCACAGATGATCAGTGAAGACCAGAAGGAACGGGTTGGTTTACAGGTTTATGCCATTAACAGAGAAATGCTTATGTTTGAGAAATAACATTTGCTTCTCCTATTTTCAGATGAATGCATTTTTAAAGAAACGTGTGGAAAGTGGTCCATTTACTCCAATACAACAAGAATGGCTGCACTCCATCACTGGCCGACTCCTGCCTGAACTTAAAAATACTCCAAGAACACAGGCACTGTTACAGGAGCTCTGCACAGAAGTGAGCGAGGACTTCCGTAATGCAATTGTCAAACATACAGGTATTTTTTTATATTTAGTGTCTTTACTCTTAAGTGTGTGTTTGCTACTAATAGAATTGGTTACTTTAATGTATTTTGCTTTTGCATCAGTGGGCTCAATTTTAAAAGAACCACACAAACAGAATACTGAGAAACAGGAAGTTACTTCACTTGAGTAAGTTACACAATAAATGTATCAACCTAGACAACATATTGTAAATATTTTGTCTTGTGCAATAGAATTTTGGATTTCTCACAACCCCGGCACGAAAGCTTTGTCCAAAGCCACAGGAAGATCAAAGCAAATTTGCACATTCTTCATCCAGTGATGCAGATAATACTGGACATCAGTTACACCACATTTTCTCCAATAGTCTTAGCTGATCTTTCAGATTACAGGTAATAAAATGCACTGGGCATAATAACAATGTAATAATAGCATGATTTATTATGTCTAATGTTTATTCAGAGTTTCAGGGCCTGTTGACTGTAAAAGTTTACACAATAAAATGGCATTGGAGTGCAAGAGAACAGAAGAGCACATAATGAACACTTGGTTTCCGAAAATTATTCATCTGCTAACCCTAAGAGATACAGTAAAGGGTATTAAAGAAGAGAAGTTGGACTCTTTTTACAACTGTGCATCCACTCTTATGTCCAATCTGGTGAGATTACTGTGTCATTTTTTATGGTTAAGATCAAATACTTGGATATACAGCACATATACTATTTCTTACATTCAAATTTGTTTATAATATTTTACAGCTTAAGTCCCTGCTTCATAAAAGTGTAGCACAATATGCTAGTCTTTTTGATGAAAAGAATCAGCACAGCCTGCCTTTGTTCAGAATGTCTCTGACATTTGATGATGAAAAGATGGAGATTTACCCAACCTTACAAGATCTAGGGGGAGCCATTTTTGGGATTCTTAATTCAATAACAAGTACACTGCAGGTAAGTGTGGCTCAGACTTCAGGCTCAGAATTAGTTTGAAGAGTTATGTCAAACATTTGTTGTTTATATTTCTAAAGAAAGTACCGACTGTCCAATCATGGCTGGCTCAGTCAACATCTTCATTTGTGGACGCTAAAGTGGCTGATCATATATGGGGTAGTGCTAATGCCATACTGAAGACAGCGGTTGAAAAAAATTTAGAGGAACCCGACAAACATTTCCAGAGTTATGGTAATATTATACAAATTATGTCTTTTTGACAGTATATAAGATTACAATAATTATTTTACACAAAATAATATTTGTTTACCTTTACAGTTGAAAAATATGCATGGCTTGTTAATGGAACTGCACAAACTCAAGTGAAGTTGTTCATGGAGGAGGAGCATTCTTTTGAAGAATATACTCAGGTACTTACTTAAAAATAAGGTAGACTTTACAATAGCTATTATAAATAAAAATATATATACCCGGTCTGATATTTTAAGAAAGTGGAGGAGTTCCATCGTTTGTCCAAAGAGATTATCGACCTTCCAGCCAAAGCCCACTTCACAATGGTCCATCTGGATTGTGAAGAACTAAAGCAGGGACTAGCCAACAAAGCTAAACACTTTGCTGAAGAACTCATCAAGAAACTAGTTAACAATCACAGAGTGCTTAATGTGGAGTAAGTGGTTTAAGTATCAATTTATTACATAAATTACTATACAATTGGATCCATATGTAATTTATATCACGTTTTCTGTGTGTTTGAAGGATTTGTTCAGAATTTGAAACAATCAAGGAGAATGCTCAGAAAGTACCAGAAAGCACAGAAAAGATGGTTGAAATGATTGAATACATCAACTTTACCAAAACAACAGGTCTCTCTCACAACTCCAGAAGAAAATATCTGTGAGTAGGCCTACAGTGCTTAGGCTTTAACTAATGATTTATTTTTTTCATAACAGTATACTTAGTTTTTAACTATATGATATATTTCTTTCATGTTAATGTTCTGTGTTACCTGTCCCCTGTAATTAAGCTGTCCACTGATATTGCCACTGGCTTTAACTAATGATTTATTTTCTTCATATAACAGTTTGTGTATAATGCTTCTGTACCAGGAATCCCTTAAAAAATTACTGTACCTTGTGGATGTCCACATATTTGAGCCTGATGATCTGAAGCTTCACAAAACTGTATTTCTGTGGCCACAAAACATCATGCAGGCATTTGAACTAAGTGATGAGGTAATCCTCTTCTCTCTCCGTATGCTGTAAAATAATTGTTTCTTGTAATATAATACAGAGTTGTTGTTTTTTTCTAGGTGATAGAGAAAGCTAAGTATAAAGGAAAACATGAGCTGATTGCCACAAGAGAAAAACTAATGGTAGAGTTGACTAAATTAGCCCACAGAATTCTTGATTTCCCAGAATGCTCAGAGCTAGACCTGATTCCACAGGTAAAAAATACAATTTCATGTAACCAAATATGGTTATGAATATTATGTTTTCTAGGCCTTATATAAAATTTGTCCTAAAACTGGTCTTGTTGCAGTATGTGGCAGATATTAGGATTGTTCAGAAACTGATCCGGGAGGCAGAGGAAACTGTAGAATACATCAATAAAGAAGAAAAAGTTTACGACATGGCGCAAACCAGTTACCCAGAAGTAGCTGCAATTAAAGAGAGCATTGAACCTTACCAGAAACTCTTTGGGCTTGTGCTGGAGTGGCAGCACACAGAAAAAAAGTATGATTTACTGTATGGTTCCTTTTAGTTTATTTATTGTGGTAACAAATATGTGGCATTAATAGTGTCTCTGTTTAGATGGATGGATGGATCTTTCCAGGGCCTGAATGGAGAGAGCATGGAAGTGGAAGTTGATGAATTCTTCAGGAACGTTTTCAAGATGTTAAAGTTTTTCCAACAGAGACAGAGTAAAGCTGGGCAAGAGGGTGCAGAAGATTCAAGCAAAACTGAGAGTCCCACTGCAACTTTGTGCAGTACTGTGTTACAAGAGATCAAAGAGTTTAAGGTAGTAGAAGTAGTAAAAATACTTTAAATGCGTGTTGAAGAACTAAACAATGCATCTTGTATTGTAGGAGCATGTTCCTCTTGTGTCCATTCTCTGTAATCCGGGCATCAGACAACGCCACTGGGACCAAATGTCAAAAATAGTAGGATATGATATTACCCCAGACTCTGGCACTACACTAAGAAAAATCCTAAAACAAAACCTCACTCCTTACCTAGACAAGTTCGAGTCTGTCAGTGCAGCTGCTAGTAAAGTAAGTATATTACACATTGCAGTTACATTTTGAGCTTTTCACCCTAATCATGTTTTCTTTATCGCTGCAGGAATTTTCTTTTGAGAAAGCCATGAAGACTATGGTGACCATATGGGATGATGTTGCTTTCCACCATCAGCCTCACAGAGAGACTGGCGTATCTATTCTAATATCACTGGACGAGATTCAAACTATGCTGGATGACCAAATAGTTAAGACTCAGACAATGAGGGGCTCACCATTTATTAAGCCATTTGAACATGAAATCAAGGCAGGTTACTGATATTTTACAAAAACATGTCGGGCTTACTTCACATTAATTGATTTTCTTTTTTTATACAGAGTTGGGAAGATCGTTTGCTTCGTATCCAAGGAACCATTGATGAGTGGGTAAAAGTGCAGACTCAATGGCTTTACCTGGAACCCATTTTCTCCTCTCAGGACATCATGCATCAGATTCCAGAGGAGGGACGTCTTTTCCAAACTGTTGATAAAATCTGGAGAGAGGTCATGAGACAC